TCTAAATGCTTAAACATATATGAACATATTACTTCATGATGTCACACAATCATTATATATAATATAATGTACACATATACACATCACACATTATTTCCATCATTAATCTTATTCTATTATCCACATTATTATCATTTATATCCTTTAATCATACTTTTTCATCAACATATGACTCATTCAAACCATACGCAAATCATCATAACAATCATATAATACAGTTCATATCACAAAATATATACTTCACCAGTACCATCTTCATTGTTATCTCTTTGTTTAGCCCATGTACACTTTTGAGAACTATAGATATGTGATTCTATTGAGGTTGTGCACTAATGTTGTCACCACAGCTCGTATAAATGCACCGAAGTGCCACGTAGAATTGCACCGAAGTGCCACGTAGAATTACATCGAAGTGCTATATAAAAATGTACCTAAGGACCACGTAGAAAATTCCTTAAGAATCATATACATATACAAAGGATCAAGTATGTGTCTCAAAAGACATCACACATGTTCCAAGGAATACATATATGTCCCGAAGGACCGCGTAGACCCTCGACTCTTGGCATGCCAACTATACCCCTAGCTCTCATGACACATAACATGGGCATTATCATTTATATCATTTCACATGTTCATCTATACACATAGTTCACTTACGCGTAGAACATTTTCATATAATTCACATTTACGTGTCACATAACTTATATTCTTTCTCACGTAGTCACATAGATCCATGGCATATAACATATATCCAAAGTACATAGAATCACGTAGATCATATCATATAGCTTAGATAATTTCTTAGATGTTCATGTAAACCTACATATCATATCTTGTTCACATATAATCATATATACTTCATATAGCACATAGAAACGCCTAGAACACTTCCACATAGCTTATATCAATTTTTCGAGTCCTTTCATATTATTTGATAGCATATATCATATATGTATGTAATAACTTATGTCATATTATCTACCTTATGCTTCATTTCTTTGTATTCCCTTAGATTACATAAACTATGTCATATTTCTAAACATATATCGTTTAATACTATTTTATTTATGTATTAATTTAATCTATTTACTTAATTCAATTTCATATATTCCTTATAACCTTTTCATATAGCTACATAAGTCTTTAGCATATAACTTATCTTATATATTCGTATCATCCTTTTTATATTCAAGTTTCCTAATTGATATACTATTCCCATTTCATTCTATAATTCAATCTTATTTAGTTCCATTAACTCTCATTAAATCAAAAAGCTCTATTATACTAATTCTCATAATGGATCATACCACTATGTACTTGTCCAACTCATGTTTCTATTAAGCATATACTGTTACACATGTTTACCTTGTTCCTATCACTTCTCATGAACTCACTTTCATCATATTTTCCTATTATTACATATTTTATCTCATAACCATGTATTCACATAGTCTTATATTTCATTATCATATGACTTATATTTGTTCTCCTATAACTCTTCATATATATCTATTTCCATTTCTATATATCACTTGACTGATCTTCTATATTCCTATAATTTCATAACTTATTTTATATTCTCTCATTAACACTTAATAGTGTTTTTACGTAAACCACATAGCACATAAAAACATATCAATTCATATAATCAAACATACATACACTTAATGTTGTTAACATACTTATGATCAAGACTTAATGAGCTATTACTATAGGAAATAGACTTATCACAAGTCCAATTTCCATATAATCTTATAAAAATAAACTGCACTCACCTTGGCCTCACTACGTTCCAATCCACTTATGATTTCCTCTCTTTTGATCGAATCTTAACTTGATAATCATTCCAGAACTTGTTCATGTTCGATATCTACATAATCACACATTGATACATATCAATATCCAATTGATATACTCTAATCTATCATTTCTTAGACCAAAAGAAAGGTATATTTCTATTTCCCCTTTGAAGTGCATCGATATATTCTACAGTGCATCGATGCATTCTTTAACATGTGCATCGATGCACTACCCATGCATCGATACACCAATCACCTTCGATGTTTTCATTTTAAAGGGGGTACATCGATGCACTAATTGCATTCGATGTTTCTTATTTAAAGAGTGCATCGATACACATTGAATGTGCATCGATACACCTTGCACAGAATTTTCATTTTAAGCCCGAAAACCATCAACCTTTCACTCAATTCTTCTATTTTAAGCCCCTATCATGTCATTAAACTCAACTACCATTACTTAAACTAACTTATATCCATATAAACCATATTTATCTTCCATATCTCATCATGATTCTTAAAATTTAAGAATCTTACTAAACTTTCAACTTTGTTATTAATCCTTTCTAACTTCATAAATCTCTTATTCTTATTGATGGCAAGTCAAATTTAACTTTCAATTCTTATTATAAACTCTACTTCAATATTTCACTCAAGAAATCCAAATCTTTAATATTCCTTAACTCCTTTATCTTTTGATATTAAGATAACTTAAGCTTTCCTTAAGCTTAATTATCATCTAATGATCATAACCCAACCTTAAATTTAACCAAAAATTGTCTAAATAGAAGACTCAACTTTTGTTCAAGCCTTCACGTATGAAGAAGGAAGAAGAGAAGAGAACTCTGGAACCTGTTGATTTCTTCTCCCTTCCACCCACGTGTATATATAACCATATTTAATTATTTTCCTTGCAAATGACCCTTTTGCCCTTCAATTCATCTAATAATTACTAACAACTTTTATGATTTATTTCCAAATAAATCATTGAACTAATCCATTGTTCTACTCTAGTCACCAAATTCTGAAACTTTACAATTTGATCACTAACCCGGTATTGAGGATGTTACACAAATTTTTAGTGCCTCTAGTGGGAATACATTCGAGCTGTGGTGACAACATTTGTGCACAACCTCAGTGTACTCACGTACCTCCTATTCTCAATGATGTACATGGGCATCCAAAGATAAATTGAATGAAAACTCTTATAAGAAGTTAAGGTTCAAATATGCATATCATATTCACATATGCTATAGTTTAGTAGATACATGTAAATGGTAAGGTCATGATTGATTGATAGTAGTGTCTATTCATGATTTTGTCATTATATGTTCTTTTATGCCTCACTAAGTCTATGACTTAGCGTGTAAGTGGTTTACACGTAGATATCAAAAAACAAGAAGACCAGAGTTAAGTCTAAGAAACATCATCTCTTTTGGAAGAGATCAGATCAGAAGTGCTTTAAACAATATGTTAATTTTTGTTGTAAGAATTATGTTGGCATGAAATTACGGTTTAAATCACAAATGCTCTGATCGATTTTGTTGTAATCATTTTGATAGTATTTATGTAAATTATGGTACTTTTTTGTTAATAAAAGTTTTAAATTTTATGAGATTTTGTCCAAGTAAACGTTTTGAAAAGTCAATGTGACACCTCAGATTTATATTCCGGTTGGATACAAGTTGGGGGTGTTACATAAATATTCTAATTTCACCCCCAAACTATGATCCTCATTTTAAATTGGTCTCTAAACTTTTGAATCTTCCAATTTCATCTCCAATTTCATCCAAATATATAATTAGTTTCAACATTAGTTTGACCTAAATTTTATTTTTAAAAAACATATAATAATATAACTTAGTCTAACGATTTTATTAACGAGGATCGTGATTAGTATATATGTATAATTTAGGATGAAATTAAAATGTTCAAAAAGTTTAGGGATTAATTTAGAATAAAGATCATATTTTATGGATATAATTAAAATTTTTAAAAGTTTGAAGACTAATATAAAATGAAATGTTATAATGCTTAAAAGTTTAGATATTAATTTAGATTGAATATCATAATCCAATGTTATCAAAACCGGACCGGACCGGCCGGTTTGACCGGTTGAACCGGGAATCGGTTGCCTGTCCGGTCCGGTCAGCCTCCAAAACCAGTTTTACAATGAATCGCTAAAGAACCGATCGAGAACCGGCAAAATCGGTGTGAACCGGCGGATCACATGGTTCTTTTTTTTAAAAAAATTAAACCAAACGACGTCGTTTGTTATGATTTTTTTCAGCCCCAAATTTATTTTCTGAGTTTGCATCTGGGTTAAGCCATTTTCACGAACGGTAGCAAGCGGTGAACCCTATCCCTTTTCCACTTTGATTTCCTTCATCACCGTTCCGTCTCGGGCATCATACTCCCTCACTGGCGTCATACTCCGTTATCAGCAGCCTACTCCATCACCGGCGCGCTCTACTCATCTTCCGCACAACATTACGACATCATCTTCGTTTCGGTTCCTACCATGTCTCAGCCACAAGTATTTTCTTTAATCACAAGTATTATCTTTAATCAAAGTGATGCTATGGAGTTTCAATTTCAAAGTAGTGATGGCGGTGGTAATTCAACTAATGAAGAAGTTTTTTCCTATATTTTGAAATTTGAGGGAATCAATTTCAATGAATATTATGATGATTGATACTTGTATCAATTATGTACTTTTTTATTTAGTTGTTGATGAATTTCATTAGGTATTGACCTTAAATATTATGTTGTAGTTGATTTAAATCATTTTGTTTCACTTAATATTATGATATTTAACTTATATATGTAATGACTTGTGATATTTTTATACATTTTAATATTGTGATTTGTGAACTTAAAAAGAGTTATATATATATATATATATATATTTTAATATTGCTTTGAATATTAAGTAAAATTTTAAAAAAATATTATTTTATATAAACAGGTTCAACCGCGATTTAATCACGGTTAAACAAGTGAACCAATAAATTAGTAACTTCACCTATATAAATTCCGGTATGATTTTAAAAACATTGTCATAATCTGATGACATGTGATACGGTTACTTTATTGACAAGAAAGGGACAAGAGGAAATGGAAATAAACGCGGAAAACTACATATATAGAATTTTATTGTGGCAGTGAAACAGTGACGATGGAGATTGTTGAGTTGGGCAGCTTCACTTTCTGTTGTTCGCAAATGTCAAGCGTTGTCCCTTTTTCTCCCACATAACCAATCCCACCAAACCAACCCACCAATCTCAAAGGTCAAATAAACTTGTCGAGACGAAACAGGACAATGATGTTTCGTAACGCCCTCGCCTTAGCTCCGACAATCATGATGCTGTCGTTGTCGTCGCCGAAAGGCTTCGTGTTTGGGCCCGACGATCTCCCTTTCGGCTCCGTCGAGTGGTTCTTCTACGCCGGATTGTCCTGCTTGCTGGTGCTCTTCGCCGGTATAATGTCTGGACTCACTTTGGGCTTGATGTCTCTCAGCCTCGTTGACCTCGAAATTCTACAGAGAAGCGGCACCGTCATCGAAAAGCAGCAAGCTTGTAAGTGTTTTCCCTTTTGCTTCTTTGAACTGAGTCGGACGGTGACGATTCACATACGAGTTATTTGAGTGTTCATAGCTTCTTGAGCAAGATAAATTTGAGTATCTAATACTTGCTCAAAGCTTCTATAGTTCGAGTTTGAACACAAATTATGAAGCTTTAAGTGAGAGTAAGAATTGACTTTATTGATTCATATTAGGTAAACGTGTTTAATGAAGCGAGTTTTACTAGCTCAATCTTTATCTTGAATCAAGCTCGAATTTCAAAAGTGAAGCTTAAACAAGCTTGGACTGGATTCGAAATTAGGTTTCCGAGCTTCGGGTTGGCTCAATTACTCCCGTAGTTTCGAGTTTTTCGTTCTCAATATTTATCTATTTCATGTCTCTGCAGCTGCTATCTTACCAGTTGTTGTAAAACAGCATCAACTTCTTGTAACTTTGCTTCTCTGTAATGCTGCTGCAATGGAGGTGAACAATTTATCTGTTTTTCTTAACTAAAACTATTGATTGATTGATTGAAGCATTTTTTTAATATCCTTATTCTTTTGATTTTGTGTTTTTGCAGGCCCTTCCTATATCCCTTGATAAAATCTTTCACCCCTTTGTTGCAGTGTTGCTGTCTGTTACTTTTGTTCTGGCCTTTGGAGAGGTATTACTTTTTTTTCTATTGCTTCATTTTTCGCGTGCTTTTGTTCTACGTTGGCCATACTCGTATGTGAGTGTCCGATACATGCTGTATCTTTGAAGGGTCATGTCTGCAGTCATATTAGACACGGATACTTTTAGGAAAATGAAGAGTTAGACCCATTGTAAAACATAGAAAACTTGAACATGCTTGTTTCTGATACATACTCGTATTTTATTTTCGCGCACGAGTCCAAGTAAAATAACTTAGGCATGCAGATCAAGATTTATCAATTTTATACCCATTTTGAATCAGATTATTCCACAAGCACTATGCTCAAGATATGGACTCTCTGTTGGTGCAAATTTGGTGTGGCTTGTGCGGATTCTGATGATCATCTGTTATCCAATTGCTTACCCTACTGGAAAGGTAATATATATGATATTTCTTGAAAGCTGTAGTTTTCTCAGATATTAAATAATGTTTTAGATTTTAACTCAGCAATAGTAGACACAACATGGAAAAAAAAAGTACGACATGAATGGTGAAACATGAACACGATTATAACGCAAGAAAAATATACAAATATGACATGAATACATGAATTGTTATGGTTAATAAGCAAACACCATGTACCATTGGGTAGTGCTTTGTTTCTTTCCTGAGGTTGCTTGAATTATGTATTGCTTCCATGGACATGATTTTAGGTTCTGGATGCTGTGCTTGGCCATAGTGATGTTTTGTTTAGACGAGCACAGATAAAAGCACTTGTTTCAATCCACAGCCAAGAGGTAATGAGTTGAACTAGACATGATAGTTTTGCTTAAAACAAGTTTAATATTATGTTACTTGGGCTCGGGTGCGAGTGTTGGATATGGATAAATGTCCAACTTGAGTATGTTCAATTTTTTCTAAGCTTTTCTATGTATTTAGAAGGTCTTTGGAGGATCGTATCTTGTGCCTTTATCCAAATATGTGTTGGACATGAGTAAAAAAAATGAAGATTTGGAGCAACACGGATTTAGTGTTTGTTTCATTTGAATTTTCACTAATTTGTCATTGTTTTTGTACTTAATAGGCTGGCAAGGGTGGTGAACTAACACAAGATGAGACGACCATCATTAGTGGTGCACTAGATTTAACTGAAAAGGTAAATGCATTTGTCAATTAGGCCACTTGGACTTAAGTATGACTATGGGATACAAGTATGTGTTTAATACGTTTATATTTACACAAATCTCGAACATGAATACTTAAAAGAAAAATGAAAAGCGGAATCGAAATGACATTACTGTGCTTGTTATAACTTGCAGACTGCAGAAGAGGCTATGACACCAATTGAATCAACATTTTCCTTGGATGTCAACTCGAAATTGGATTGGTGAGTTTCAGCTAGATGGTGTTCCTTTTTGTTGCCACACATTTTTTGTGTTTCTCAGATTCTTCATTTTGCTCGAAGTAATGTGTCCACAATTGCACCTGATACATTTTCAGACATGGATATTTGGGTGTGATGCACCAAGAGCTCTGTGGATACATAGAAAGACTTAGAAAAAAATAATCACATTTGAATCTGAGTGACATTAATCATTATTCTTTTTTGAAGTACTTGAGTTTGATACTCTTGTCCAGCACAGTGAGTTTAAGGAGATGACCTTTTTTTTGATACAGGGAAGCAGTTGGAAAAATTCTTGCACATGGTCATAGTCGTATCCCGGTCTACGTCGGGAATCCGAAAAACATCATTGGATTGTTACTGGTGTGTTTGATAACACATTGAATTTCTTATGGTTTTCTTTATGTTGAATATTTCTTGTTGAAGGTTGCTCATTCAATGAGGAATTATTTTCCTCTTCTTCAAATCTTTCAAATATTCTCCTTTGTTTTCGAGATTTAGGTTAAAAGTCTTCTCATTGTACGAGCTGAGACGGAGACTCCGGTCAGTGCCGTTTCAATCCGGAGGATTCCTAGGTATACACCTATTCTCCGTAGTGTTTTTTACTTCTCTTTCTTCGGTAAAATTAATAGAAAAAGACACTGATTTTGTAATCAGGGTTCCGGCAGACATGCCATTGTATGATATCCTCAATGAGTTTCAAAAGGGAAGCAGTCATATGGCAGCTGTAGTTAAGGTTAAAGGAAAGACCAAAGACCGTCAATTCGTTGATGACGGGGAGAGATTCGATAAGCATAGAGTTGCCAATGGGGATTCTCAACTGACCGATCATTTGTTGACCAAATATGACACCTTATCAGATAGTGTTATAGTCGATGTTGAGAAATCTTCGATCGTCACGAAAACTACTCAACCAAAGAGTACTTTGCAAGGCTTTTCGGAGGATACTGAAGATGGGGAAGTCATTGGTATCATTACCTTAGAAGATGTATTTGAAGAACTTCTCCAAGTATATGATGTGTTTTGTCATGGAATTTCCATATTGTTTATCTTCAATATGTTGTGCATTTGATGATTTCTTTCTGTATTGTAGGAGGAAATCGTAGACGAGACTGATGTATACGTTGATGTGCATAAAAGGTACGATGCTATTTGAGTTTCATATCTTTTTTCATCTGCTGTCACTCTTTCAGTTTGGGTAATCATATCATCCATCATGAAACAATCTTTTCAAGGATACGAGTAGCTGCTGCTGCTGCTGCTGTTGCCCGGGCTCCATCAGATCGTAGATTGATTGGTCAAAAGCCTTCAGTAAGTATACAATGTTTGTTTCTTCATTCCATGTTTCCCTTGCACACACCATCTGATCATTAGAAGTGTTACAAACTAAAACCAGCATATTGTGGTGACATCCTCGTACCTATGTCCAAATATGGGTCAAACATGAATACTTCAAGAAAAAAAAAGAGTTGGATCAACAAAAAATTTATCTTTTGATACGCTTTCAGGGTGTTCAAAGTAAGCAAAGCAAATGACAAAGAAGCCTATGGATCATAATATTCACAAACCGGGAGATCTTTGGTTAACCCAGGGGAACTTTATCCTTGTATTATCTAATGATCTTTGCTGGTCAAAATAGAATCAAAATCAGTTGTTTTTCGATCTTGTTGTCGTCTGTCGTAAATTCTTTAATTAGTTTGTGTATATTGCAGCTTATATACATTTAGTTCTGAATGAGAAAGTAGGGGGGAATTTTGTGCATGGCAGTGCTATTAATTCCACTAGGAAAACCAGCTATCTATGTATGAATATGAACCTGGAATGGCTATTGACTGGTAAAGTTGGTGTTTTGGTAGCCTCCTTGGGTAAAAAGGGTTTTGTTTCTTTCTCGATCTCGAACTCGTAAAATTAGTGAAATAATGTTGTTGAAAAAAAATAGAGAAACGAAAGATGTTCCGAATTTATTTAGAGATATGGGATTGATGCTACAATGAAGAGCATAAGGATTTGAGTAAGGTAAGCAAAATTGTACCTCACTTTAATACTCCAACTTCGGGAGCACGTGGAATTTATTTATTTATTTTTTAGCCATTGTTGGACGCTTGGAAAGAAGCATGTGGTTCAACAACGCCATCAACAATTATTATTCCAAAGGGGGCATATTTATTAAGCCGAGCAAGCTTGGAAGGTCCTTGCAAGTCTCCTATTGAGCTTAAAGTTGAAGGCGTTATAAGGCTCCAGCTGATCCTAAAGCATTCAAGGAGCCTGAATGGGTTACCTTCAATAAAGTTGAAAATTTTAAAATGTCCGGTGGAGGGGTTTTCGATGGCCAAGGAACCATTGCTTATCGCAGAGAAGGTTGTGCAAAAAATGACAATTGTAGTCACCTCCCCGTTGTAAGGTTTCTTCCTTTTTGCATGAATTTAATTTTTTTTTAATTATAACTAATATATTTATTTATGACTCTACTAACTCTAAAATTTAACATAATATAAAGTTTGATTTTTTGACCAACGCAATGATATAACTACCAAAGAGAGCAAACAGTTCCATGTTAATGTTTTGGGATGTAAAAAATTACTTTCGAACATTTCACTGTATCTACACCTGACGAGAGCCCAAACACAGATGGAATTCACATCGAGAGATCAGACGGGGTTAATGTTATTAACTCAGAGATCAAAACTGGTGATAATTGTGTTTTAATTGGGGACGGTTCCAAAAATGTTGTCATCAAGGGAATAACTTGTGGACCAGGACATGGAATCAGTATCGGTAGTCTTGGGCTGTATATAAATGAAGAACCAATTGATGGAATAAAAGTCGCAATAAAAATTCAACACTTTTGGAAATGAAGCAACCAAATTGTTTACATTTCATGGAAACAAAAACAATATGCACTCCATCACTATCCTAAAGTAAAAATTAAATTCCTCACGGCCTTTTTACATCAATTATGGTCACACACTAACTTTAACACTCAATAAAATTAATAAAAGAATCAAACTCAAGAATCACTTTTAAACTCGAATTAAAAACTTTCAAACATTATAATGGTCGTGACCGTCATTCGGGTGGGCTTGGAATCGGGTTCCGACTTGAATTAATGTGTTAGAGTCGCCACCGATCATTTTAAATTAGGTTGATCGGACACCTTAACTTACCATTTATCTGATCTACGTTTTACCAAAAATTAATCGGATTCGGGAGACGATTGCAGTCAAGGAAGGATTAGCACCCTTGTGCTGCCCTTTCGGTACCAATTTAATTTCCCGGTTGTCTTAATTGCAAAAATTAAAAGTTAAATTAAAATTTAAAAGTTCGATCCAAATTACTTACCTTTGAAAAAAAAATTAAAATTGACATAAAAAATAAATCAAATTAATGTTAATAAAATAAAATAAGTAAAAAATAAATAAAAGAATTAAAAGAAAATTTAAATTAAAAGTACCAAATTGAAAAGAATTAAAAACAAAGGATCAAATTGAAATCAAATAAAAGCTTTTTTGGCGAAGACTTCTCGTTTTTCGACGTCCTTTGGCTTTCCGCGACCGTGCTTTCCTCTGTGCCACCCTAAAACCGAATACTTGATATTTTTGTGATTTTTCTCTTGCTATTTCAAATGCTTTACTTTGTTTGCTGCTCGATGCTTCTTTTATTCTTGTTGTCTTTGATGATGCTTTGCAGGGGCTTTTATAGCCATGCTCGGAGAGATTTTCCAGGGTCGTTTCCCATATCCCGATTTACTCGGGTTATTGTAATGCCATTTTTGATGGGATTGAGTGTCTGTTGTGTCATTGCTGGACAATAGGGGGTGTTCCCCTTTGGTTTTTTCCCGGATCTGTCGTGATTTCGTTGTTTGGCACCGAAATGGCCACTTAACACCGGTGCATAGTCCTCACGCGCCATTCAAGCCCCCTCCCCCGAGCGGTGCCAAAGTTTAGGGTAAAACCCTATTTGATTTGGGCTGAGTCAGGCCTTCTCTTCCTAATCGGAATTGCTTTGCTGGGTCCGACAGGCTAGCTTGGTTGGGCTGCACTCTGGACTGAATTGGACCCAAATTTGGACTTGGACCTATTTAAGAAAATAAAAATAAATAAAAATAATAAATAATAATATAAAATAAAAACTATATAATATTATATTTTCAAAAATAATATGTTTTCAAAAATTATATATTATATATGTTTCCAAAAAATTGTTCTAAAAAACTATATATATGTTTTCAAAATATATTTTCAAAACTATATTATATACGTTTTCAAAAATCGTTTTTGAAACTATATATATTATATGTTTTCAAAAATGTGTTTCCAAAACTATATAATATATGTTTTCAAAAACGTATTTTCAAAACCACATTATATATTTTCAAAAATCGATTTTAAAAACTATATATTATATGTTTTCAAAAAAACACTTTCTAAAAACTATATATTATATGTTTTCAAAAAATATTTTAAAAACTACAAATGCCCCTGTTTACCCATTATCGTGTAACGAAAATAAGGTAAAGACAAAAAGACACAAATTTTCGTTTGGTGCACATGAACTTGAAAACAAGCATGTTCCTGTGAGGGTTGTCAATCTTTGAGTTTAAAATCCGACTCAATGTTGCAGTCGAATCTTTTATCGACTATCATATGTTGCGGAGTTGAGATTCAACTTAAAAAATAGAGGACGACTCCCTGTTGTTGAGTCGTATTGCGAGTGACTCATTCGTCGTAAAGTTGAGTCGATCTTGAGATGTCTTTGAACATGATATCATTTGTCATGAAGTTGAAATCGTGTTTGACCCCTTCGTCATGAAGTTGAGTCAGTCGAGCGTGATATCGTTCATCGTGAAGTTGAAATCTAGCTCGATGCCCGGAGTAAGCGGTAAATCATCACCATCTTTTTCTAGCCTCGTACATTTCGCCGTGAAGTTGGAATTTGACTAGGTGACTTTAGTTAATATAGTTCCTCGTTGTTGTAGATGACCCATTCGTTGTGAAGTTAAGTCGATCTATTAGGCACAATATCCTCTTTGTGAAGTTGAAATCGTGGGTGACTCATTCGTCGTGAAGTTGAATCTAAATTGAATATATTTTCTGAGCCGGATATCCTTCGCTGTGAAGTTGAAATCCAACTTGGATGGACTATATTGTCCTTAATCTTGATTGTTTTTTGAGTTCTATATCCTCTATTGCGAAGTTGAAATTGACTCTGATAAAAATCTGAAAAAATTATGCATGTGCGATGCTATGAATGCAGTATGCCTAAAATGTATATATATGAAGTATGTTATTTTAGGATCTCTTACTGCAGTCTTGATTTTCCCGACGTCACTTGATCTCTTCGATCTTGAATTTTCGATTCTTGATTTTGGACTCTCTGATCCTTAACAAGCTTTGATCTAACATCCTCCAGGAATTTTCAGAAAGAAGCTTTGCTTCTAATCATGATCAGTGTCTAGTATCCGTGCCATTCCTTTGAGTATGGTGCAAGAACCTTTACCGACTTCTAACAACTTATACCTTTCAAGAAATATTTTTCTTAGTTGAGAAAACGACTGAGACATACAAAGATTGACATGAGAAGTTATCTTTTTCCTTGTTTTCTTACTGAACTTCGATGCGAACTTCGACTGGGGCAACTCCATTTTCATTAGCATATGGGATGGAGGCGGTATTGCCCATTGAGGTGGAGATCCTATCACTCCAGGTTTTTTCAGAAGTTAAACTGGATGATGCATAATGGGTGCAAACTTGATATGATCAGATGAACCTAATAGAAGAAAAAAGGTTGAAAGCCATTCACCATGCCCCACATGGAAAAGGGTCACAGTGCCATCATTACATGAAGTGAATAGGGTGTAACATTTATTTTATCCCCGTAGACTTGGTATTTATGACATCGTCTGAAATAATTGATGCATCACTCTCCAATGTGAACCAAAAGTATCCGCACCTCATAACTTGTCTTGTCATCATATGCCCGTTTGCATGTTTTCCACACACTCCGTCATGTACCTCTTCTAATATCATTTTTACCTCTTCTGTATCTACACACCTTAACAAGACTTGATCATGACTTTTCTTGTAGAAGACCTCTCCATCAAGAGCATATATGGATGCCATTCTTCTGATTTTCCTTTTGTCAGTCTCAGTGGCTTCCTTCAGATAGCTTTGATTTTTGATATATTATAGAATGTCATGGTACCATGATGTTTCATCTTTTACCTCTTCGATTTGATAACAATGAGCAAGGTACTCATATGATTGCATCTCAATTGGCATCATGTCAGATTCTCTACCAACTTTGAATGCTGCTGCCAAGGTAGCTAAAGCAACTGCCATTTGGTTCTCTTCTCTTGGTACGTAATGGAAAGTGACCTCATCAAATTCTTTAAGTAGATCCAGAATGAGCTTTTTGTATTCCACCAGCTTGGTATCTTTTGTTTCCCATTCTCCTCGGAGCTGATAAATCACTAAGACAAAATCTCTAAGATATAATCTCCATATACCATCAGAGTCTTTATGTTATGTCCAATAGCGGCTTAAATCCCTAAAACACAAGCTTCATATTCCGCCATGTTGTTAGTGCAGTCAAAGTTCAATTTGCTAGTGAATGGATAGTGATTTCCTTCGGGTCAGACCAAAATAGCCCCAATACCGTGCCCCAACACATTTGACGCACCATCAAAATGTATTTTCTAGGAGTTACATGTGGAAATACTTGCTTCTTCTAAAGATATGACCATCAAGTCTTCATCTGGGAAATCGAAGTCTAATGGTTCATCGTTTTCTGACGTTCTACTTGCTAGAAAGTCAGATATGGTACTTCCCTTAATATCCTTTTGGCTCACGTACTCAATATCAAATTTAGATAATAACATTTGCCATCGGGCTAATCTTCCAGAGAGAACAGGCATGCCCATCATGAATTTAAGCGGATCCAACTTAGAGATTAACCAAGTGGTATGATATAGCATATATTGTCTGAGTCTTTGTGTAGCCCTGACTAGAGAACATCAAACCTTTTCGATGGGTGGATATTCAACTTTGCAGTCGGTGAACTTCTTACTTATGTATTAAATGGCTCTTTCTTTCCTCCCTGATTCTTCATGTTGTCCCATGATGCATCCCATCGAATTTTAAAATATGGAGAGATAAATTAACAAAGGCATTCCTGGGATGAGAGACATTAGAATAGGAGTGCGAGACAAATAATCTTTTATTTTCTCGAAAGCGATCTGGAAATCCTCATCCCATGTTCCAAAATTATTCTTTCGAAGTAGACGGAAAATTGGATCACATTTTTCTGTCAACTGGGATATGAACCGAGCAATATAATTTAATCTACCCAGAAAACCTCGAAATTCTTTCTGCGTTCGTGGGGGAGGCAGATTCTAGATAGATTTAATTTTATCTGGATCAAATTCAATGACTTTTCCGGTAAC